ATACGGTACGGGGCTGGATAGCCAGTAGTTATACATGTATTTAGATTTTACTATACATGTTTTGGAAAATCTATGTATTTAAAATTATGCGGCTTTGCCGCAGATAAAAATAAATGAAGTCAGTTTTACATCTGAACCGAAGGGCCAATTAGCCTTAGGTTAAAGCTATAATTACTCTTGGAGTAAGCGGATTGCGACCCGCTAAATTCGTACTTGTTCTGAGTATAGAACGAGAGGTCGGTGACCTGACTTACTCTTCCTCAAAGCGCAAAGCTACGGCAGCCCCGCTGCACTTGGTAGCACTTGTAGACAATCTACACCTGAGTCTTTTAGACTGATTCTCTGTGAGGATGGAACAATTTTCCTCTTTGCCCCAGGGCATGCAGGACGGGCTTAACAAGCTGAAGTCCTTACTTGGCCCTGAGGGCGCGCTACACCTTGCTACGCAAGGCCCCGAGGCAATCGGTGCGCGTCTAGAGGCGTTTCTAAATTACGAAAATGCGCTGCTTGAGCACCGGCAGCAAAAGATGTCTGCATCATCTGCGTCTATGACGCCACCGCCAAAAACGGTTAACCCTTCCCGCCCTATGCCGCTTATGGTGACCGTTAAGGTCTTTTAGGGGAAGGATGGAGAGAATCTCCTGCACTGGGTGAGAGAGGTCGTGATGGCCATCGCATCCGCCATACTCCGGACCGAGTATCAGCGAGTGGCGCTAGCCATCTCAAAGCTCGGTGGTCAAGAGCGAGAATGGGCACTGACGTGCGGCACTTGGGTTGGAGCTGCGTTTCCCTACTGTGCGGAGCTGGAATTGCAGCTCTCATGAGTGTTCTCGCCGCCTAATCAGGCATATCGCGTACGATCGCGTTTCCTTGCCGCCCGACAGGGCAACAAGAAATTGGTGGGCTTTATCAAAGAGATGTGCACTCTCATTGCCGGGGTGGCAGCAGATCCCCTTCCGGAGGCGGTCACAGTGATCGTCTTTATGGAGGCCTCCGCACTGGCGTGGCCAGAATGGAAGTCTTCGATGTGCATCCGTCTTCATTTGAAGAAGCGGTGAATTTGGCACTGTATGCCGAATTCCATTTTAAGTCGACACGACTTGGTTGGAATGCACACTCCAACAGCTCGTCGAGGGGGTCTGTGCCCATGAATCTCCGCTATGCTGACGACGAGAGAGCAGAGCTCTGAGCTGCCGGGCAGCAA